GAGAGAGAGAGAGAGAGGGGGAGAGAGAGAGAGAGGAGAGGGGGAGGGAGAGGGGGAGAGAGAGAGGGAGAGAGAGAGAGAGAGAGAGAGAGAGAGATACTCTCTTCACTTTCAAGATAAGGAAAATGAGCAATAGAAACTAGGGATTCATCCAGGACAATTTAGATATGGAACTTTCTGGGCCCAGTAAGACATAACAGTAACCTCAATTACATGTCTGGAGCATATTGTCTTAAGGTAAACCGGTGGTTCAAATTTGGCTGCACATATTTTCTGGGGATTTTAAGAATTATTGATGCCTAGGCCCTCCTCCGTAGCATAATTAACTGGGCCCCATTCTGATAGGAGTTTCACAAACATCCAGACATTCTAAAATTCAGTCAAGGTTAAGAGCTCCAGAGCTTCTGGTTTGAGTCCCAGAGTGGAATGAAAACTGGTAAGTACCCTTCCTTAATCTGCTAAAAAGCTTACTTGCACATCCAGGCTCCTTGCTGTCATCGGGTAGTTTGGTCACAGATGGCACAGAAAAGTTTTAACTGGCAAATCTGATAGCTGCTCGAGAACCAGCGCTCTGCCCTAACCTCAGCTTGACAGTCAGGAAGTGGCCAATGCCTTCGCCTGGCACCTCTGATCAGTCATTCTTTCTTGTGCAGTGTGATGAAAAATGCACGAAAGCATACTTCCACATGGGAAAAGCCCACCTGGCCCTGAAGAACTACAGTACGGTGAGTGCTTGGAGAGTGTCAGTGGCAGGCCCGTCCCTGAGCCACGCTTCTTACTGTCTCGGGGCCAGCCCCGCCCCTCCAAGTCAGTGGCTATTTGCCCAGCTTCTAGTTGTGCCAGGCTAAAACTTAGATCTTTGAGTGGAAGGATGGTGACCATCATCTAGCCTCTCCACCTACAGGACTCCCTGTGCACCTCCTGCCAGTATTCACCCAGCCTGAGAGCCGCACCTCTTCAGAGAAGAGGTGGAAACAAAATTCACTTCTCATCTCATCATTCAAAATGAGCCAGGCAGTCACTAAGGTACACCAGGTTAATAGCAGCTTCACTGAGATACAGTTCACCTGCCAAACAGTTCACCTGTGGAAGTGTACAGTTCAGTGATTTTTAATCTATTCAGAGTTGTGCAGCCTGCCACTACCAGTTTTAGAACATTTTTGTCACCTTTCAAAAAACCTTGTGCCCATTCTCAGTCCCATCTCAACCCTTAGCAACCTCTGATCTACCTCTGTTGTTTCCCTGTTCTGACCTGTCCTTACACAGAGTCACGCATTGGGTGGTCTGCTGCGTCCGGCAGCTTTCACATAGCGTGATGTTTGTGAGGCGCATCCGTGTTCCGCGTATCGACTCTTCATTCCTTGTCTTAATAGCGCTGCGTCGCGGACTGACCATGTGGTGTTCACCTGTTTAGCAGCTGATGAACGTTTGGGTTGTTTGTTCTTTTGGATTACTGTGAATATTCGTGTGCCAGTTTTTTTTTTTTTTTTTTTTTTTTTTTT